ACTGAAAAATTATGTACTATCAAAAAAGACTGAAGAGAGGTTTAATGGATTAGCTATGACAAAGATCAACAAATCTGAAGAAATAAAAGATACAGAAGTTATTCAATTTTTGAGTAGACAATCAATCGGACAACTCCTGTTATTAGATTGGTCGAAACAAATATTTTAATTTTTTTTTTTATTATTATTCATGATACAGCATCAACGACTAAGGTTACTGATAAATGAGTACATTGAATTTTCTAGATAGAGTTATACATGTTAATATATTTAAGAAATAAAATAATTTTATTGTTGATGTCTTCGGTTAGGCTCAAGAGCTTCGAAAAGGTTGTCTGGAATTCCTAGGGTGCTTCTGGTTTCTACGTGATTTCGACAATGTACGAGGTGTTTTATTGTGAGGGGTTCTCCACAGGTTTGGCACAATGAATATTCTTCTCTTCGCGTAAGATATCCATGGGAAATCACATCTTTGCGGTTTAATGAATGAGATTAAGTCTGCGAATGAGGATTTCTATGTCGTTGACATAAATTGAAGAATGAGTTTTAACTAAATTTTCGGTTCGACTATTAAAAAATATGCAGAATCTATTATTTGAAATACGTGATACAAATTGTATTTTTTCTGCGGGTATAATTTTACTGATTGAGGTAACATACTCGATTTGTTTGATGTTATTGATAGAGTTAAATAAAATGACTTCGTTCATTTTTGGTAATGTAACATTAGAGGCTACCACTGCAAATGTTTTATTATTACGTATATGTTGGGAAGCACTGTTGGTATTGTTCATATCGTTGGATATAATGGTGGGCTTATCACCCATCATTATATATTTTGGATAGCCATTTAAATGAAGTAATTAAGACAATAATGGTAATCATATTACCTGCAACTCTGAATTTTACGACGGAATGGTATATTGCTGCTATTGATAGCTATAAATGCAATACTATAAGAAACACGGTAGCACGGTCGGAGAGTGAACTCGAATTGATTTAAAATTTAAATTTTATTGTTATGAAAATAAAATAAATTATTAATGAATTATCCAATTGATTTTTCTTTTAGCTCTTCCCCTCTCCTCTCTATTCCAAAACCCTAGCTACAACACAGCCTCCTTGTATAAAAAATGTTAAATTATTAAATTACATTTGGTAATTTATCCCATTTCCGGGAAAACATAACAACAGTAGTAATAATAAAGTTAAGTTTACGAAAATCTAAACACTATTTGTTTAGATTCCAAACAAAACGAAGAATCAAGTGTACCGTTTTTTCTAAAAATCAATTTTTTCTGGTTAGTACTTCAAGGATGGTATTTATTGATTCGGAAAAAAGGAAAAATTTACAAATATGAATGATAGAAACTTTGCTCAGAAACGTTTTTCGTTAGCAATGTTTAACCTTTGCGTACAGATATACATTAAATTTCCCTTTATATTCTACCTTCCCAACTTCTCACCTACAATAGTGGCCCACCCATCAAAGTAAGTAAGTTATTTTATTTTTTTTTTTCTGTGTGTGCAACTAAAAGATCTCGCTCTAATCAAAAAATGACAAAAAACTTTTTGTTTTCCAATTTGGATCTAATTGATACATTGGGAGTTCATGTTTTCCCTCCAAGCAGTTTTCATTTATAAATTAAATAGTTATCAAATTAGGTTTGAAAAGTAATATAAGGCGGGTGTGAATTTGGTTAAGTTTCGATAGTTGTGTGAGAGGCGCTATTTTTTTTTATTTTTTTGTTTTTTTTAATCTCATATAATTTCTAAATCCTATATTTTTTCGATTCGAGCACGGCCCAGAAAACTACACGGAAAACGCACCACGCCACCGCCGTCGATTTTTACACCATAAACAGTTTTACGTGTTTTGGTCTCCGAATCCGTGTGGGTGGATCAGTAATGGTCCAAAACGGGAACCTGCCTGACGACGACGTGCGTGGAATTTCTGATTTTTAAGTACACAACACTTACGTCTTTGTAAAGGCGAAATGAAAAGCGAAGGGATTGAATATATTTGTCCCGTCTCCGCCGCACACCAGTAGGTTTGGGATTTTACCGGCGCGTAGACATTCCGTACAACCATATTATATTTTTATGCTATTAAAATCTACAAAAGAGTGATCAAAAACGTTAAAAAAGTTCTGGAAAAAGCACTTAAAAAAATATTGAAAAAAGCAAAAATGATTGAGAGATTTAAATACTTCTCCTCAGAGAATTATAATTTATTAAAAAAATTTTCTAACGCTACAAAAACGTTTAAAACAAAATAATTTATTTTCACAGTATATAGAATTTTGTTTTTAAAAAATTACTTTGTGCTAATTATTTGTGTTGCCTTAGAGAATAATAAATAATAATTTAGAGCCATTGGAGGAGGGGGGATTTTAAAATCTTTCTATTATTTTTGATATTTTTAAATATTTTTAAGTGATTTTTTATGTTTTAAACAGCTTTTTGTGGATTTTTAATGCATATAAATACGTGTCCTATACTTATTGATATTCCGTTACGAAAATATACAAATTTCAGGTTATCCCGTGGTGAACCATCAAGGTTTAGTAAAATTATTATAGAGTATTTAAAATTAAACCAGGGGCTTTATTTCAGTTTCTTATAATGGGGTCTAAACATATTATGATACCAATTCATCCGTTTCATGATTTTAAGAGAATATAATTTGAGGCTGTATTTCTGTACTTAGTATACTAACTGCTCGAATAACTTAACCTACCTCTAGGAACAATTAAATATTCTATTGATTGGATGATAGCAATAACATTGATTTTTCACAGATTATTTAAAAGTAATACTGCTATTCCGTTATAAAAATAGTAGTGACTGGTGACTGCTACGTTTACTGCTACTTAATAAATAACAGTATCAATTGCTACTGCTACCGAAAAAAAATCACAGCCATGTCTTACAACAGAAATAATAATATCACTTTTATCTATAAGTTACATAGATTATATATATATTACAAGTATATAGATTCAATATTGCATTCGACTTGAATTTCGGCACTATTTTGGAAATTTTCATATAATAATATATAATATAATTGTTTTTATCAGTTTTTATATTATAGGTTACTTTTTAACGTCTCGGAGAAAATCAAATATAGACTATTAAACTATGACTTACTGTATAGATTTTTATATAGATTTTTAGTTGAAAGAAATCTTTTTAAATCATTTTACGCATTATTATAATTCTTCTTCTTATTATTATTATTAGCATAATTCTTATTATTATTTATCACTTTGTTTTATTAAAAATAACTGTTATTGGATACTTTAAAAAGTTTGAGTTTTATAACGTCGTTTTATCATTATTATATGCATTATGGTAAACTAACCAATATTTATATTGATATCGTTTAATCAACTCAGTACCTCTTTATAAACTGTATTTTTAGAGCTAAAATAACTAGATTATTGGCAGAACTAACTATAGAACATGCGGCATAGATCTGTCCGTGCGAAAAATTTTCTCCTCTCAAAGTCAAAGCCAGCCATCCTCAATGGTTCTCCTTGAGACTTATTAATAGTCAAATATCAAAGCCAATTTTGAGAGAGAAATGTATTGTTTTAAACTCAAAGGGATAATCAGTTGAAATTAACGTTATTCTTGAAATGAACACTATATCTTCTCGAGCATACCCAGTTAATAACAATGGCTTCTATTATATTTTTGTGCGAAGCTTTAACTTGCAATCTAGTTTCATAACACAATTTAGATGGGTTAAGATTTCTTAGTAACATTACAGCAGTGCTGTAATAAGATACTTTAAATTAGTATTTAGATATAGATTCAGATACTTTACTTTAAAAAGTATCTAGATACAGGTACAAGTATCTTAAGATATATTTTAAGATAAATCAAATCATTTTTTTTATAAATATTTAATTTATGAAAAATATAGAATTACAAAATTATAACAAAATAAGTAATGGATACATAATTTATAATACAATCATTTTTATCTACATGTATGTATGTCAGTTTTCAAATATAATATATGATACATAACAATATTGAAATATTGGTTTATTATTGATAAATATAAAATAAATAATGGATATTACTTGTCAATACGCAATATCTATACATAATAATTTATAATAATAAAGAAATCAGGAAATAATACGTATCATAATTGTTCATTTTTAAATAATAAAATTAAATTTTAAAATTTTAAATACCTTTAATAAAATTTCATTCGGCTGCCTTGTCGTTCTTTAGAGTTCAGATTTCTGGTTCGCACAACCATTAAAAGGGTTTTTCCTTGATGTTAATTGTATTTGGATATATTCTAGAAGTTAATTTCTGATAAAGAGCTAATAGCTATACCGAAATTTGAAGAAATAGTGATCTCACCTTCAAATGTAGGGAAATTTCAGTCTCCTATTTTGTGTCAAATCTCAATGAAAATCCTAATAGATGTATCACCTTTCAAATGGACCCTCATATTTTTATGAAATGCGACTTTCTGGATGTGACCACAAAATCTGAAACAGTACAATGACTCCGCTCATCAAATTTTTATATCCTCTTATATCTTTTATTGTTCTATTGAGAGCCACTCTTGTGGGTCATTGTGCATTTATCCCAAAATATTAGCTTACATTCTTTTAGAACTTATGCTATATTACCGTGTTTGAAAGTATTGTGTATACGTGTCTCTACTATCATTAGGTTTAATGGCAATTTAAATACAGAGTGAGCTGTTTTACCTTCTTCTAGTAATTTAGTAGCAATGCCTAAAGAAGCTACAGTCAAGACTATCTCATGATCTTTTCGCACTGACCAAAAAAATATTTATTACCAGTATCCTCAGGTGTGTCAAGAAAATTGATAAGCTAGTGTTATTTTTCAATGCTATTTAATATTTTATCATAAATATACGACTGTCCATTGTTTCGTAAATATTCATTAGAATTTAAAAGGTGTACCGGTTAATTCGTGCGGTTTTTTTTCGAAAATTGAAGCTTTATTGTGAAAAAATGGTTACAAATTTAATATTCAAAGTATTGTCCATCGCTAGCTATGACCTTTTCCCATTTTTCTGGCAATTCACGAATACCCTTTCTGAAAAATTCGGCCGGCTTCTCCGCTATCCACGAATCGATCCAATTTTTGACTTCTTCATAATTGGAGAAGTGCTGGTCAGCCAGGCCATGTTGCATTGATCGGAAGAAATAGTAATCGGATGGCGCAAGGTCTGGACTATACGGCGGGTGGGGTAGGACATCCCATTTGAGTGTTTCAAGGTAGGTTTTGACGACCTGTGCAACATGTGGCCGAGCATTGTCATGTTGCAAAATTACATAATTGTGTCTGGTCTCAGTTTCTGGCCGTTTTTCTTTCAATGCTCGGTTCAAACGCATCAATTGTCGTCGGTAGACTTCCTCTGTGGTCGTTTCATTCCGTTGCAACTGCTCATAATAGATCACACCCAGCTGGTCCCACCAAATACACAGCATAACCTTCAGGCCATGAATATTCTGAACGGCCATCGATGATGATGCATGGCCGGGGTATCCATACGTTACCNGTTCACACGCGAAAAATCGGCGTTCGACGTCTCTTGGCTTCAATTCATACGGCACCCAATGGCCTACCTTCCGGATCATTCCCATTGCTTTTAGACGATCGGAAATGGTTTGTTGAGCGACGCCAAGTGATTTTGCAAGTTCTTCTTGCGTTTGGGATGGATCTTGGTCGAGCAATGTCTCCAATTCGTGATCTTCACACTTTTTTGGCTGTCTGGGCCGTTCATCGTCCTCCAAGTCAAAATTGCCACTTTTAAACCGTGCAAACCACTTCTGGCACGTACGCTCAGCTAGAGCATGCACACCATACACTTCCACCAAAATACGATGACTTTCGGCAGCCTTTATCTTCATATTGAAGTAATGAAGAAGTACTCCCCGAAAAAACACTTTATTCGGCACAAAATTCGACATTTTCAGAGTAAAAAAAAGTATTATTGTTTACGCTTCAGCTAAATGACACATACTGATTCTGAAACAATATGATAGTAGCTTTCCAACACATATTTGGAAAGGTGAATCACTGGAATAAAAATCAAGTTACGCCATCTGTTAGAAAACCGCACGAATTAACCGGTACTACTATTATGTACTGCTCCAAAATATTGAAATCCTAATTGGTCTCTTGAAGGTAATCTGTAAAACTGTGTTACATCTTTATGGCTGAGGTAAGCCGTAATGTTATAAAAATTGACCTCCCAGAAACATAACTGTATCTCTAAAACTAACCAAGCGTTTATTATATACTTCATTAGTAATTGGGTTCACATTCCTGTTTTGTATTTCCAATTCCACTCGATGTTGTATATCTTCTTAAAGACTATCCTTGTGTTTTTCCCAAAAGCTTAAAGCATCTGACAATCCCAATGTCTTTTGTCTTGCAGTGAGTCTAGAGCCTTACACGCTGACTGATAAGTAGGTTAAATTGTACCGTTAACAGTTTTCAGTTTCAAAAATGATGTAGAACCTCGGATTTCATGAAGTAAAAGGCGAAGATAGTAACACTCGATGTTATTAGGATGAATGGTATATAATTTACCAAAGCTTGATATTTCTTTATTTCCGGCCAAACATTTACGTTAATTTCACGTTTTCTTCTCTCAAATCTATTATTTTTCCATACATAGTAAGATGGAACATCAACATAAAGAAATGTTTTAGCAAAATCATCCGTCAAAAAAATGCTAAAAGAGTAATTTTAGATGGATTGTTCACTATGTCTGTTAAATGACTGGAGTCATGAGGATTTAAATAAACACGCTGGCCATTTTCTAAATGCACGGAAAGATGAAAGACTGTAGGAAATCTCTCGTGGATAGAAAAAGCCAGAAGAATAAAATAAGAATAAAATTACAATACATAAACTGTTTTTTAAAGGGATAATTTAGTTTTTGAATTAGTCTGAGAGATATTAATGGAATTATCCTTACCATGACAGAAAAGTAGCGAATACTGCAATGTATTTTATAAACGGTGCAATTCACTAATCCGTTGCAATTTGTGATCATGGTTTTAAAAGTTTGAAATACAATATCTCGTTTTTCAAACTATTGTCCAACTATGACCAATAATACCTCACTATTGCTGACATTATAACGTCCCCTATGAGCATTACCAGGTTTCCTATCAGCGTGTATTATAATTTCAAAGTTTTTACAATTTTGAGGTACTTTTTCGAGAGTGGTTTTCAAGTCCTTTATGTAAGGGGTTATTATGGTGCAACATTGCTTGTAATTGTTTAATCAGGCTTTGCTTTACATCGGCGAAGTTACTAGCATCTGAAGGAATTGAGGATCTTATTGAGGTAAAGCTTGCAAATTACTAATTAAATGATACACCTGACCTTTCACTTTGAATATAGGCAAAAATCCATCTTCAATAATTTTTTTCATTCCAAAAGATGTCATTTGGAAGCAGTTGTATTTTCTAATACGGTCCATGAAATGTTTTTGATCAAAATGGAACCTCATATTTAAACTATAAAGAGGTTCCGGAAGAGGTAAAAAAGGCTGAAGTTGTACTTTACCTGCACTAAAGCACATTTTAGACGCTTCTTCTTTAAATTTAAGAGCACCGCAGTATGCGCATTTATGACTCATAGTACCCAAATATACGGTTTTATCGATCTCATAAGCTTTTTCCGATTCGATTTTCATGCCGGAAAAAGCTTTAGTTTTCCATGGAAAAATTCGCCTTTTTGATCGTCCTCCTGGATTAATTTGTTCATATCTACGAACAACTTCTCTATGTACCACAGGATTTTTTTGTTTTTTCTTTTAAAAATTAACTACTGCTACTCTATGTATAATATTACCTATGTACTTAGCAAGGTGTCTTATCAAAATCGTCGCATACAGAAATAGATGTAGTCAATTCATCTTCATAAAGCAAATAAACATCAAAATGTCCATTAGATAGGTTTTGCATAGAACTAAAACGAAGTCGCTTTACGGGGTTCCCTTCAGAACCGAATTTTTCATAGAGCTCTCCATTGAGATAGACCTCAATGAAGACCAAATATAATTGTCCGGCTGCCACCAGCTCACATAAACCTCCATATGTATTGAACTGTAACATATCAGTAAAGTAGTCGGCAGAACTACGGTAATTATTTCCATCACTATCATGTGACATAATTGAATAATCTTCCCAGTGATTCATCACATAGGTCACAATCTTCTCACGTACTTCTTGGGCCTTGTCTTGAGTGTCATATAACACAAAAGACATTGCTCTAAACAGGCAAGCACCGTCGCCAATAATTGGAATTATAATGTGGGGCGTCATTGTGCCATTTATGTTCAATAATTCGACAACCATATTATTATTTTTTAATAAACACGCGTAAAATAGCCTCATTGCTTCACAGTGTGTGCCGATTATTATAATATTGTTCGAAAATAATAAGTATAACCCTTGACCAATAAGTGTGCGTGCGCCTTTACGGCCTCGCGGTAACTGTACGTGTCAACGCAATATATGACGATGTATCTATTGAATACACATACACATTTAGAAATATCCGCACATTAGTATAGAATAAATATAAAAGTTGAGCGTATGTACTCACGGCTTCACAACGTGTAAACGTTGAATTAACGTGAAATACTTGTAAAACTGTTCGCCGGCCGGTTTTGTCGTTTTAACGTATAACTGCGTAAATATAGTTTATAACGTTACAATATAATAATACATTAAAATATGTCACATAGATCTTTATAATTTTTATTTTTAATATATTAATTACCATAGATACGTTTTAACCAACTTTTTAAATTTGTTTTCATTTCATCCGTGTCGCCCCGATAACCCACGAATTAACAAAAATGAATAAATGAACAATTAGATATTCGTATTCATATACCGAAAACCCCTATTTTAGGGGTTGAATTTTCGAAAATTCTTTTTTACCTTTCTTTGCCTACATCATAATAGCTACCCGTGTTCAAAATTTCAGCCTGGTCCGTCCAGTGGTTTGGACGAATTTTTCTATCAGTCCAGACACGTTATTTTATATATATACAGATGAATCGTTAAATATTGCAGAAAGAGCACATAAATTTTAAACATTCTCAAGAAAGACGAAATATCCGTAAGTTTTATAATATTTCATAAAATGACAGTGGGAACTTATAAACAATATCTAACACTATAACATTAATTACTAGCATGCATTTTTTTTTTTTAAAGGTCTAAGTTTTTAGTTTTCTTGAAAAATTTTAAAACTTGGACATGTGCCCCTTTTACCTAACTTATACAAGTATAATAGTATACAAGACACTTGAGAATAGCTATAAATCAAACTGTACATATTAGATTCTGAACGGACCGAAGAATGTATTGATTTTACTATGGTGTGGTTTTTTTTTTTTTTTAATTCTGAGCGTAGCAAAGAATGTATTGGTTTTACTACGATTTTATATATATATTTTTTTTTTTTTTTATGTTTGTAAGCAACTTTCCTACAAGAAATATTGCTTTAATCGAAAGACAACAATATACCTTTTTTGTTGCATATTGGAACTAGTTGGCGAGTCAGAATGTTGATTTTAAAAAATATCGTAGATAGCTAACATTTGATGGTAAAACTATAAAGTTATTATAGCGATGTTTGAGTTAGTTATAGGTATTTAACATTTTCGAGTTTTTTTTTTTTTTTTGTAGCTACTATATGTAGATAAAATTGTATAACCAAACAGAAATGCTTGAAAATTTAACACGAAGTTCATTATAAATTAAATTTAGTTATCAAAAGAAAAAAAGTTGAATGTAGTAGATTTTTTTCATAATCGGTTTATGATTAAATTTTGACGAAAATCGTAAATATTATGGCATTTCAAAATATGTACAACGGAATTTCGCTCAAAAACGTATTTTGATAGCAATGGTTTACCGTTGCTTGCAGATATGGATAAGTACATATTAATACAAGTAAAAAAAACAGGAGGACAATTAAAATTTGGCCCACGAACTTTTTTTGAAAAAATATATGGCCCGTAGATAATTTGAGTTTGAGGTTACTGTTGTAGTATATACAGAATGTACAGTTTGTACATACAGTATGTATTATACATATATACGTATAAAAAAAAAATACGTTTTCTATTTACTTATTTATTCATAAATAATTTATAAAACAAAAATAGGTACTTATAATATTACATAAAGTCGATTTGTTTTTAAGTTTAAGTATCTGCACATTACAGAGGTGATGCATGATATATATGGATAAGTACAAATATGTACTTATCCATATCTGCAAGCAACGGTAAACTATTGCTATCAAAATACGTTTTTGAGCGAAATTCCGTTAAACATAATGGAAGAGAATTAAAATTAGTAAAAAAGTACGCATAGCCCCATTTTTCTTGAAAAGCCCATCCTTCTTGATTTTACGTCAAGTTCGGTCATTTTACGGTCAATTTTACGTTTCATCGGTTTGATATGAGACATTTAAATGAACAAATTACGCGTGTAAACTTAAATTTAAAATTACATTTAAATAGCAACTATAACTAGTTACTAGTACGAACAAAACAACACTGGTCACAGTCAAACTGTTATCCCACTATTACTGCATCTACACCGAAATACAAATGATATTTATCATTGTAGATTAGATTTACCGCATTTCAAATACTTTATCGAGTAAAATGGGATTTCTGAACGATTAATGCAAAATTAAAACATTACGAACGTCAGATAATATTTTATAATCTATGTCTTTACGATGCGTAAAAAAAAAATTAACATTTTTACAATTCGTCCGTATATTTTTGTTTAAAATCTATTTTTATTGCGGGCCACATGGAAACGGTACGTGGGCCGTATGTTTGAGACCACTGTACTACAGTGTCCTTCGAAGATATACACATTGTAATACCTCAGGAGATAATAAAGATAATAAAATTATATTTTTGTTTATTATTACGCATTGGGATAAGGATTAAAAAATTTATATTGCAATTATTTTTTTACGCTTTGATAAAAAAAAATTAAAAAGAAATTGTATTTTATTAATTTTGAAAAATGTGTTGACAGCCATTTAATAGTTTATTTTTTTGAAAATATTGATGCATCAATTTTGTTTTTTTCATTAAATTCATGAATTTTATAAAAATTCTCAAGTTCAGAGAAAAGAACCTACACATTTTTTTTATGTTGCATATTCAGAGGCCACCCATCTCGTTTCCACCCCATAACATCAGGATTTCCACAGAGCGGACCGTTGGGGGGGGAAGTATTTAAAAATCGTATACTCTACAAGAGAACGATAACTTTAAAAACGTTAAGAAACACTGTAGTGTATACAGGTAAGTTAAATAAAGGTCTACTGTAAACCCAATACATATAATTAATAGATGTAAAAAAACGATAAAAGTGAGGACACATCTACCCCTTAAATATACCCCTGTTTTGTTTTTATATCGATACCATACGAATCACAATAGATATAGGTATACAGAACGAAGCGATAATTTTACCTTTATCCCGATATTTTCTATTTTCTAAATTTTATCGTAGACGAATATCAATTCATTCTTCATTCTTTATTTTGAATATTAGTATTTAGACAAATCGCAGACTAGGAACCAGAAGGCTCTATCATACTTTTTTTGCATATTTATAGAAGGTCAAATAGATTACCAAAGATGTGTAGATTTCTCGTCTAAATTACAATCTCCGTCAACCTTTTATTATAAGCCGAAAAGTTGTTTTCAGTATTACTTGAACTAAAAATAGGAAAAAAATTAAAAGAAACCAGATGGAAGCTTTACGTAAAACATACGCCTTGTAACAGTTTAATAACGTTTAAATTACTTTTAAACGAGTAATAAATTATCATGCGCTCGTAAAGTTCAATTCATTGTTATATTGTTTTTTATATAAAAAAAAAAATTATACAGAGTGATTCATCTATCGCGAACCACTCACTAATACTCAAAACATTGGCGTTTTTTTTCAAATAGAATTCAATGTTTTGACGAAACAAGCAGCTCTAAAATGTTAAACGACTACCTACTTTTGGTTTTCAAGCAGAAAGGTACATTAAAAATTGCATTTAAATACGTTTTGGTGTTAAACTGTTTAATTTCCGTCAACGAGATGTTCCGTTCCAAACTATAAGTTTGGATACGCGGTGAGTAATGAAACACTATTTATTAAAACGACATGCCGGCACACCATTGATGCTCTACTACTATCTCCCTCTCCACATTTAATACAGTGGGCGCCGCTTATTAAGATTCAGTCGTTTATAAGACTCGAAATCCCATGGATCGGTCCGGACGTGTCCAAATGCATGCTATCTTATCCACACTTTGCCTATAAGGTTCATTCGGTTATAAGACTCACTTTGGCACTGGTCCCAAAGTGAGTTTTCGTACGTGCCGCCCGCCGTAGTGGAATGTCTCGTCAACGGGTTGACGGAAATCGAAAATGTTAACACCGAAGTTTATTTGTAAACACTTCGCGAACAATAACGAACGTTTTGCATTAAATGAATCGCCTTGTATAATTCGATTTATTAATTTCCGATTATGTCAATAATATGTACACATTTCACTGTTTTCTTGTACGAAGCTGAAAAATATATTCAATTTGTTTTTCTTACTGTTTATTGCGAGAAAACAAAATATATATTACGTAAATAATAATAAAATGTGCACAGTGATGTACTTATACCGGGGAGGGGGAGTGTTCTCCGGTATTACGGTCACCCCAACCTTCCCCTACCCCGGGGACTTTTATTTTTAAAACATAATTTATTAAATAAATATTTATTTTCAATTTTGTAGTACAGCTGTATCTACAGTATCCGGCCCGCGTCAGATAATTTATTATCGCGTTATATCAATGATGCACTCGTCTAATACCGTCGTATAAAATGACAGGCGTAAAATTTAAATTCAAATTTAATGACATTATTTTCATTTTTGTTTTTTTTTTTTTCTATAACACGAAAACGATTTGACGGATACCCTTTGGAAAATTGGCACCGAAACGCACGTACGCGCCTACGCGACGTTGGCACCGCGTGTATAACATAATATACTTGACCCAAATATCTCGTAACCGCCATAATAAACTTGTTAGACGTTGTTCGATGGTTGTTGGGACTCGTTGGACTTTGTTCCCCGAAAAATACATCGCGGTCCGCACTGGCACCGAGCGAAAATACCCAGGTCGCAGAAACCGGTCTCGAAATACTCAAAATGCACGTTTGTTACAGACGCTGTTCGTTGGGCTACACGAGATCCGTGGTTCTAAAGATCGCAATGCTTAAA